ATTTCTTTTATTTTATATTCTATATAAATATCTGGTATTTTATGAAATATTTAATTTTATTAATTATTTGTTGATTCAATAAATTGATCACTTCTTTATTTTATATTCTTATTTTGAATTTACTTATTTCTTTTTTATTAAATATTATTTTCATTTTATTCTCTTTTGTTTTATTCTCCATTTCATTTTCATTCATTATATTTATTTGATATTTTAATTTATCACATCTCTAGATATATTCTCTTATTATTTCATGTTTTTCAATTTGTTCATTCTTATTTATAATATAATTTAATAATATATATTCATTTATTGATATTTTATCATTATAAATATTACACTATTTTAAATTAATATTTTATGTAATTAATATTTTCATAATTAATACATAATTAATACAAATATAATAATTTCTTATTAATTATATTAATTTCTTTTTATATTAATATTCTTTATTATTCTATTTGTTAATTTCATATCATTTTATTTTCAATTTATTTTATTAAATGAATAATTACATTATTTAATTTCAATTTATTAATAATCAATAAATTTAATATTTAAATATTTTATTATTATAGATGATTCATTCTTATTTTGTAATAATAAATATATTTCATTAAATTCATTTTTATTAATTCTTTTATCATACACTTTATAAAATCTCTTCAAATTTCATTTCTTATTCATTTTTATCATTTCTTTTATTTCATTATCTTCAATTCATAATACAATATTATTCTTATTAATTCTAATTTATATTCATCTCTTAATAATATTAATCAATCAATTAATTTATCTTTATTATTATATAATCTTTAATTAATAGTTTAGAGTATATATTTGCATCTTGCATCTTTTTTCTAATGTATAGATCAATTTTATCTAATTTATTGATTGGTCAATGGATCATAGATGCAACTATCTGAAAATATTGATGAATTCAATATTAATTATATTGATGTAATTTCTATTACTTTCATTCAATTTATTGATGATATCTATTTTATCTATCATATTATTTTCTATTTTATTAATATATTTTATATTATCATTCTTCTCATATTTGAATATACAATGATATTTATATGAATTTGAGTAACTACAACTATGATTTCAATCATATTATCAATGAGGTAATATTTCATTTTCTAATTATTCAATATTTTTTAATATTTACTTTAATCAATATTTATTTAATTACATCAATAATATTTTGATTAACTACTTCAATTACTTTATTCGAATCACACAAGAATTTTAAATCAACTATGTATAAAATATGATCTACTTTGATTAAATTAATATCAATATCATTTAATTATCTGATATGATAATTTGATAGATAATAAACAACAAAGAGAATTGTATTATAATATCACAGATTTTAATTTAACATACTCTAAATCATTATTATAAATATATCCCATCTTAATACACAATCTATTGCATATACATTCAATTAAATGTGATATTGTATTATTAATATTAAAATAATTCATTAAATATTATTCATTTATGATTTATACAATCATATGTATTCTTTATATCATAGAATATCTCATTGAATCTTTTTTTAAAATTCCAATTCTTTAATTGTTAGATAACTTTAACAATAAATTCTTTTGATATTAAATATATTTCTTTACACCATTTGAAATTTATCTAATTTGTATTCAACAACATTTAATTGTAATTAGTGAGTGATTTTACTTTTAATGAATGATGTAAATAAATTTTCATTAACACATTAAGACAACATATTTATCTATAGTTCTCTGGTGATTTAGAATCACTACCATTATAAATTAATCTTATTTTCCAACTACCATCTGCACGGTGATACAATCATGATGAACAAAAATAAGCGAACATCTAAATAAAACCACAAAAAGAAAAATGAATAAAATAATTTATATCAATAAAATAATGTTAAATAATTTGCATCAATAAATTAAACGCTTTTTTATTTCATATTTCTAATTTCAGTAATTAAAAATACACCCATTATTTCATCATTCTTTTCATCTTTTATTATTTCTTTTTTGAATTACTACTTTTTATATTTTCACTCTCTACTTTTATTCTTTTCATCTTCTTCTACTTCCAATTTTCACTTTTTCTTTTAATCATTCTTTCTCTTCATTTTTCTCTTATTTCCTTTTTTCCTGGACCATTTATTTACTTTGTAATGCTATATTTTATTATTTTAATTTAGAGTTTTCTTATTTCATTACATGTAGTTTGAATATTATTTATTTGTGTTTTAATATTTTTATTTCTTTCTCTTTTCTAATTGTATTTCCTGTTTTTTTTTTCAATTATTTTATTTGAGATGTGTTCTTCTTCTTTCTTTTTGTTGAAATTATTTAATATTTTATTCTATTTCTTTGATTTGATTTTGAAGAATTTTAATTTCTTATTTGTTACATTTTTCTTCTTTATTTTGTGTTTTTTATTTATTTTATTATTATTATTATCGTAGTTTTATTTCATTCTTTTTTTGTTTTTGATTCATTTTTCATTTATTTTAATATCTTCTTCATTTATTTTATTTTCTATTTGAATTCTTATTTTCTTTTCTTTATTATTTATTATTATTGAATATAATTCTTGGATTATATTATACAATTTTCTTTATCTTCTCATTTTTTATGTATTTCTGTTTATTCTCTTTTCTCATTTTCACTTCTTATTCTTTTATTTTTTAATTTTCATTTCATTTTCATTTATTGTTAATAATTTAGGTTTCTTATTTGTATAATGTTTATTATCTTTATATTTACTTTCTTTCTTATTTGTTTTTCTTTGTGTTCTTCTTTTTCTATTCACTTTTCTTCTTATTTCTTTTATCGTAGTTATTATTATGTATTTTATTGCTATTGAAGTTCTTTCTTTTCTTTGAACATGAATTCCTGTTTGTTGTTTGATTTTCTTTACAATACTCTATTACATTACTCAATAACATGGCAACAAAATATGTTGTATATTCTGAATTGATAAAAGGATCTATTTTGTTAAACAAAATAAAAATAAAAATAGAAAGAAGAATCTAATTATTTATATATTCAATTTGATTAAATCATCTTCATAATTTTATAGTAATAATTTTAATGAGAAGATTCATTAACGATGTTTAAAGAGAAGATTTCTCAGTATGAGTTGATATATCTGTTTTATAAACATTTAAAATTGATATA